AACATGTCTCCTAGCACTCTGGCGGGCCTGTGGTGGGGGTGATGGGCACAGGGCAAGTCTTCACCAAACTGGGGTTCAGAAAAAAGGGTAAGACTGATTTGCAAGGTGGGCTGGGGAAAGGCCTGTTTCCTTTGAGGTGAAGCGTTAGTCTTTGGGAGCTGGCCAGTTCTTCCCTAACCAGCAGCAGTTACCTGATGGTCTCCTCAGTCGTGGGGTTCTATAGCTCTCCACTCTTCCGGGGCCTACGGCCCAGACGGCGGGACACAGCCATGACACAGGTAAGGGGGGGTGGAAGAAGCCTCCCCGCCTGCGGACAGTGGGTGCTAGAGTTCTGCTGCTCTCACCTGCCCTTTCTGTACTCCTGCTCAGATCATTGGGAACTGCGTCTGTCTGCTGGTTCTAAGCTCAGCGCTTCCTGTCTTCTCTCGAACGCTGGGTAAGTAGTGGAAAGAGGAAGGGAATTGGCCCTTTCCTGAGTGCCTACTGGTGCTAAACAGGTACTCCACGTTTGTACTTCCTCTCCGCAAGAAACCCGTGAGGCAGTATTATCCTCAGTAGGATGGAGACACGGAGTCTGTCTGAAATGCCCGACTAACACTCAGAGTGCTGTCTCTGGCTGTTACCCCACAGCCTCCCCCGCTTACATCCATTTTGGTAAAGAAACACCACTTTCTCCCAAATATCCCTTTGGGGTAGATGATCTAATCTCATTTGGGGTAGATGATCTAATCTCATTTGCAAGATAAGAAACAAGCCAATCGACGTATGAGTTATTGAGCTAATTTGAGGCAAGGCCAGATTAGGCTGAAATGCTGATGTCCCGAACCCCCGTCCGTGCTTCTTCCACACACTGGAGGCATCAAATAATACACTAGTACCCCCCTCTTCAGAGCTATGATCTAGTAGTGCCTAGCAAGGATGTTCAAGAGTGTAACTGACTCTCCCAAGGCTGTTCTGTTTGGTTCTTTTTTTTAATATAATAGTTTATTTTTACATCATTTTGCACATTCTTTTTTTCATCTCAATTGTAATCCCTGTGGGTTTCCCATCACCGAGTCACCCATGTGCCATCACCATAGTCCCGTGCAATCTCCCCCTCCCCCCCGTTTTTGATCCCATTCCCCACTCCACCCTCTGTTTGTTTCTTAAGCTTATATCCTTTTCATTATACCATTTGTCCTTAGGCCATAGGGACTTAGTAAAACCAGGCTTATGGGTTCACCAGTAGTTCCTTTAGGGTGGATGCAGACGGAATATTTTGTTTAAAATGTTTTAAAACTCTGGGGGGAGGTGCCCCAGAATTTTTATTTGTGGTATTACTAGTAAGGGCTGAAAGTGCCTGGCAGTTACAGTGCTTTCCGTGTGTTGTCTCAGTTAACTCTCACACCCCCATTATTTTTCCTGCCATATAGTTGAGGAAACTGAGATACATGTGTTTATGGAATTAGCTCCAGATCACAAGGTTAGTTATGCATATGGAGTTTGGAGATGACCCAAAGCATCTGGGTCGGAGTCTGAGCTCTTAATCTCCAAACTGCTCTCTGCCAAAAATACCTGGTGATCAGCTTGTAGGTTCCTGCCCCATGAACAAGTACCAGGCCCAGAGAACTTCAGGGAAACCGGAGAGCCAGAGGGGAACCTCATTGGCAGAGGCGATGCCAGAGTCTGAAAGGGAACCCGGAGCATGACTTAGCAGGTGACACCTCCGGTCAGTAGGGAAGTAGGAGCAACTGCTACTGTCAGCTGCAGTTTAGAGAAGCGGCCGCCAGGAGGCAGCAGAAAGCTGGGCTTGGCTCCTCTGAGGGTCGGGGAGCCCACCTACCATCATGACCTTTGTACTCTAGGGCTCACTCGCTTTGACTTGCTGGGTGATTTTGGACGCTTCAACTGGCTGGGCAATTTCTACATCGTGTTCCTCTACAATGCAGCCTTCGCTGGCCTCACCACTCTATGTCTGGTGAAAACCTTCACTGCAGCTGTGCGGACAGAACTGATCCGGGCCTTTGGTGAGAGGGAGTGGGGTCTCGGGTTGTGGGGCAGTGGTGTGATGGGGCTCCTCTGGGGCAGTGGTCATCCCTGCAGGGGAGATGGCATGCTCTGCTTTATTGGTAGTGGACCCATCCTGTGGCTTAGGGTGGTCTTATCCCTAAGGATTGACCCCACTTTTGACTGTCCATCCCCCTCTCCTCCAGGGCTGGACAGACTGCCTTTGCCTGTCTCTGGTTTCCCACGGGCATCTAGGAAGAACCAGCACCAGTGATCTCCAGCTGGGAGTGGGAGGGAGAAAACTGGACACTGCCATCTGCTGCTCGGGCCTGGAGGGGCACCCAGGGAGGGTGGACTTCAGGACCTGGAATCTGAGAGAGTGGGTGGCATTGGGGACCTGAGTTGCTGCACTGTTGCACAATCTGAGCCAGAGTTTGGGACCAGGCTCCCTGCTTTTCCAGATTTAACTGGACCTCAATACTGGGGGAGGGATCTGGGGGACTGGGTCTGGCTCCTGGTCCCAAATCCGTTTACACATCAATCTGCCTCACTGCTGTTCCAGGCCATGCCTGTAGCCATGTTTACATGATTTGATGTGCAATAGGGTGGGGTGGGGAGAGGGTAGGGACTGAGCTGGGGGCAGACTTGGGACTCGAACTGTCTCCCTGGCCTCTGGCCCAGAAGAGCCTAAGCACTGTGCTACCCTGGAGGTGCTTTGAACCACTGGAGAGACAAGGGCACGGGGAGGAAGAAACCACAACCATCAGCAATAAAGTTGACCCCAGGGTTTGCTTAGTTTTTAAAGGGCCTGTCTGTATTCTGTATGTTTGAACCTTCTTGCTCCCTCCAGTCCCAAGACTGCCAGCTGAGGAACAGAGGATCCTTTCCCTGACTCTTCATCCTCATTCAAGTGCCCTTTGGGGACTTGGGGGTGGTGTCAGGGCATACAGTTAGGCACTGGGAACCTGCCTACTGTAGCCTTGCTTAAAACAGGTCGGGGCCTTGCTCTTCCTTATGCCTGTGGGCTGGTAGCCTTGTTTGGATATTGGGGGTGGGTGGGCATCCGTATAGGACTAGTAAACACATACACACCCCTATTAGCCCTGACCCCTGGCTTGGCTACTGGACCTCAAGTAAAAGGAGTGACCGACTCACAAGGGTTTGTGATTTCTAACTCGGAGAAGAACCCAACTCCATCTTTCTGGAGTCTGAGTGCCTTGAATCCTATGCAAGACCCTGCTGTGTTGGGGTAGGAACAAGTTTCTGCTGAAGGTCATTAATGCAGATTATGCATGGCACAAGCGCTGGGCACCATCCCCCTTATAGTCGCTGTATGTGTGGTTCCTGTGGTTTTCCTGCAAGTGGCAGGCAGGCCTTTTGAGGAAAGGCAACACAAAGTTGCTGAGTGCTAGCCATGGGCCAGAGTGAGGGGTGAGTATGAAAACAAAAAGTGTTGATTCCTCAAATACGTGCTGAGCACTTCATTGGCCACGCCACGGGGACACATGGTAAACAAGTTGGCCCTTAAGAACGGCTTTGTTTAGCGAGGACAGATAAGTCTGTGCAGCTACGGGTGGCAGTTCATTCATTGTTGACTCAAGAAAGCAGGTGGGCAGTATGAGGACATCACAGGCTTCTTAGGGCAAGTAATTTCTAAATGAGAGAGGGGTAGATGAAGTGCTGTGGGGTCAAAGCTGCTGAGAGCAGACCTGAGTATCCTGAAGCAGAGCCCCAGGGGCCCAGGGAGGGAGAAAACTAGAGGGATGCCTAGATGGCAGGTGAAGGGAAGGAACAGTAGAGACTTTTAGAACCCACTGCCCTCCAGCACTTTCCAGCTGATGGTATTCATTTGAAAAGCAGCAGCTATTGGGTGTCTGGAAAGGATAGAAGAGGCAAGAAAACGTAAGTCAGGCTAACGTGAGCTGATTCTGGGGAAGCTCCTCCGGGAAGTCTGCATAGCTACCAAGGAAGGTCTGGTACCCACCCCTTTCAGTCCTGGTTACTGATGTGTGATGAGAGGCAGAAGTGGGGAGGGAACAGGAGGCTCTGGTTGTGTGCCCAAAGAAAACCCTAACTTCTGGGTAGTAGAGGACATAGCCTGGTAAGGTGGGCTTTGGGAGAGCACAGATCTAACAAGTGTCAGGAGGGAGGTTTGGTACCAAGCTAAGGTTTGGGGGTGGAAGGATGCTTAGCCAGAAGGCGGCGAATGTAAAGCAGGTGTCCGCTAGTGGAACCCGCTTCAGTCTCCACAGGGACAAGCAATGACCGGCTAGAACCCCCGCCCCAGTGGGAGGGGGCGGGACAGTCCTGGGAGAAGGGCGGGGGGCGGGGCCAGGGGCAACTTAAGGCGGAGCCCAGGCGTTCTGGCAACGCCTGAGCCAGGCAGCAGAGCCAGGGCTGGGCTGGCACTCACCCACGACCCCCCTTCCCTGCTTTGATGGCCCATCGGTAGCAGGTTCCAGACCCCCAGGGACATGCGGGCAGGACGGGCGGCTGCCAGGTGCACAGAGCCACGGGCGCTCTAGGGCACTCTGGGGGCAGCTCTGCCTGCGGCGTTGTCTGGTGCCTGGGGAAATGCCCAACTGACGGGTGAGCTGGTGAGGACAAGAGCGTTCTCTTTGGCCCTAGCCCGCTGCACCCATGGCGCTGCCGGCCAGTCTAGTGCCTCTGTGCTGCTTGGCACTTCTGGCGCTGCCGGCCCAGAGCTGTGGACCCGGCCGGGGGCCGGTGGGCCGGCGCCGCTACGTGCGCAAGCAGCTCGTGCCGCTGCTCTACAAGCAATTTGTGCCCAGCGTGCCGGAGCGAACTCTGGGCGCCAGTGGGCCTGCGGAGGGGAGGGTGGCAAGGGGTTCCGAGCGTTTCCGGGACTTGGTGCCCAACTACAACCCCGACATCATCTTCAAGGATGAGGAGAACAGTGGCGCTGATCGCCTGATGACCGAGGTAAGGAGGTGCTCTCCCCACCTAGGCTGGGACCCTGCCACTTCTGCTCTCCTCTAGCAGCAGGGGAAGGTGAGCTGGGCTTCCTCTATAGAAGCTTTAGTTTCAAAGGCAGCCCCCCAATTGAAAAAAAACAACCTGCAGCTAGATTGAAGTGGTCAGGAGGGATCCCAACTGGGAGAGACTGGGATGGGGAGGAAGAGGAGGGACTAGTGAGAGTGAAGCTGGGAGAGACTGGGAGGGCGGGGAAAGGAGGATGGCGGCAGGCGAGACGGGAAATGGCTGAGGCGTGGACCCGGGGTCAGTTACCGAGCCAGGCAGGAAGGGCTGGGGTGAGCTGGGGGCCAGAAGCTGGCTAGGCAACAGACAGAAAGCTCTACCCTTAGCTTGACTCCTGGCTTGACTGTGGGTCAGACTGAAGGGGCTGGGGAAGGGGTCAGGTCACTGACCATCTACCTGGGGAGGGGCTGAGTACCGATTGTCTCTTGTTTGCATGAGGCATCCTGGAACATCCGAGAACCTGCAAGACTAATTGGGAGAGTAAACATCTGCCCTGGGTAAAAAGCAACTTTCCATTAGAATATAGGGGCCCACCTGGATTAAAGGGCTCATGTAACCCTCAAGTTCAGCTTGCTCCAGGCTTTCTTTGGAATTTAAGAGTTAATATAATCTATCTCCTGCAGACCAGAACCTAAACAGCTAGGGCTAGGGGAGAATGCTTTGGGGGATCTCAAATATAACTGGAAGGAGGCATTCTTGGGGTCACATTCTTCCACCCCCTCACCTCAATTTTACAGCTGAGAGCTGGGCCTCTGGAGAAAAGTGATTTAATCAAAGCCTCACAATTCGAGGTGGCGTGACTGGGACTAGAATTCAGGGTTCCTGGTCCTAAGTCCTATATACACTTTTCCATTACACCACCTAATTGTGTATGGTGTGGGGAGGTGGGGTAGAGGGAGGAGTGCGGATTTCCTCTGATTAATTGCACAGTTTTCCAGGTTACTTTGTTAGGAAAACCTGTCCAGGGGAGAATTCCTTCTTCCTGCCCTCCCTGAAGACTCTTTCCTACCCAGAAATTGGGGAGGGGATCCTCCTTTCCCCTTGGTCATGGGCTCTTGTGGCCTTTCCCTCTGGCTGCCCCCGTAAGAGAGGGGGAGAACGGGCCAGGGAAAGGCTCTAGCAGCAGGCTTGGGAACCCTGTCGGCCCAGCTTATCTCCCACACCCTGCCTGCAAAAGGCCTCCATTGAGTTGGCTCTGCACTGGGCTGCTGCCCCCGCAGGTCAAGGCCTCAGGCCTCCTGAGGGGACAAAACGACAAAAAAGTGGGAAGGAATTACCCCTTTTTCTATCTTCTCCCTCCCCTCTTCTCCAACCCTGCGGAGGTGTAGAAGACTCGAGAAGACGGGCAGGGGTAAAGCATTCCTCAGGCAGTTGGGAGAAAACCATGTCGGAGGTGAGAGGTCTGAGGGGCTGAAGAAAAGGAAGCTGTCCTCTTCTGCACCTCCTCCCGCCGGATCGGTGCGGTGGTGCGCGCCAAGGTCTCCGGCTCGGAGCGGCGCAGATAACCGCGGTCTCACTCCCCCGGTGCAGGCTTCCAGCTGCTGCTGCTTTTCCTCCTCTCCACTCCTACCCTGCAGGGGGCCCCCCAGATCCGCGCAAGGGCAGCTCGTTATTCTCAGGTGCTACTCCCACGCCTCTCTGGGCTGCACGCGGAACAGAGATGGAGAGATGAGGCGTTCAGGACTGGCAGATCCTTGGCCAGAACTGGGAAGACTGGCTGCGCTGGGGGAGGGGACCCGGCGGGCCGGAGCCGGGATCGGGGGCGCGGCTTTCTGCCCTTTCCTCTCCCGGAGCCGGGGCGGCTGAAAAGCGCCTTTGTGGATGGAGCTGCTGAGTCCGCTGCTCCCAGCGCGTCCCCGGCCTCGGCCCGGGATTCTCGCTCGGTTAAGTCATCCCGGAGAATGGCCATTGTACTTGGCGCAGCCCCCGCCACCCCGGTCCTTTTTCCAGCAGCCTTGATCCTGGATAGCTTTGCTTGGGCACCTCTGCGGGGGAGGGAGGGCACTCGAATCTCGAAGGGGTTAATGCTAGGGGCCCAGCGGAGGAGGAGGAAGGAAGGAAGGGAGGAAGGAAAGAAGGAAGGAAGCGGTGCCCAGTGCCAGGGAAGGCCACGAAACAAAAGATGAATCAGGCGGAGGGAGGGCAGCCGGAGGCTGGGGCGGGGGCCAGGCTGCTCAACCCCTCCCGGGCCGAGATTCCACCGCCCTCTCTCGAGCCCTTGCCCTCTCGCTGAAGCCGTGAGGACGAGGGGCGGGCGTCTAAAATGGGGGAAGAGCGAGGTATAGGCGCCCCCACCCCCAGCCTCAGAAATGACTCCAGGGTTCTCCCACGCTCTGGGAAGGTAGCGTCGCCCGGGGGCTTCACCTGCTCGGAAGCTCGCTTCCCCAGCACACTCCAGCTGGGAGAGGGGTGAGGGTGGGAAAACGAAAATCGGCCTTGCCCTCGAGGTCCCTTGCGCCTCCATAGTGGTGGCAGTGGTCGTGGAAACCGATTCCTTGACTCCCCGCCAGCGCTGTAAAGAGCGGGTGAACGCGCTCGCCATTGCCGTGATGAATATGTGGCCCGGAGTGCGTCTGCGAGTGACCGAGGGCTGGGACGAGGACGGCCACCACGCCCAGGACTCCCTGCACTACGAAGGTCGCGCTTTGGACATCACCACGTCCGACCGGGACCGCAATAAGTACGGCTTGCTGGCGCGCCTGGCAGTGGAAGCTGGCTTCGACTGGGTCTACTACGAGTCCCGCAACCACGTCCACGTGTCGGTCAAAGCCGGTACATAGGTGGCGGGTGGTGAGCTCGCCCACAGGGGGCCCCTGCGGAAAACCGTGACTGCACAGCCCTGTTGGGACCCGGGGGAGCCCCGGCGGGCCTTAGTGTGGTAAAGCGCCTACTGCTGCCCAGCTGGGGACCAGAGCCTGTCGTGCCCGGGTCGGTGAGGTCTGCGCTGGGTTCGGCCCGCGCCTCTGAGGATCGGTACCCACACTTCGGAGCGGCAGTTCTTGAGTCAGTGCTCTCTACGCTTGTTCCCTGCAGATAATTCTCTGGCGGTCAGGGCAGGCGGCTGTTTTCCGGGAAATGCCACAGTGCGCCTCAAGAGCGGCGAGCGGAAGGGGCTGCGGGAGCTGCATCGCGGAGACTGGGTGCTGGCGGCGGACGCGGCAGGCCGGGTGGTGCCCACGCCGGTGCTGCTCTTCCTGGACCGCGACTTGCAGCGCCGGGCCTCCTTCGTGGCTGTGGAGACCGAGCGGCCCCCGCGCAAGCTGTTGCTCACGCCCTGGCACCTGGTGTTCGCAGCCCGCGGGCCCGCGCCCGCGCCCGGCGACTTCGCACCGGTGTTCGCGCGCCGGCTGCGCGCGGGGGACTCGGTGCTGGCGCCCGGCGGGGACGCGCTTCGGCCGGCGCGCGTAGCCCGAGTGGCGCGCGAGGAAGCCGTGGGCGTGTTCGCGCCGCTCACAGCTCACGGGACGCTGCTGGTCAACGATGTCCTGGCCTCGTGCTACGCGGTCCTGGAGAGCCACCAGTGGGCACATCGCGCTTTTGCTCCTCTGCGCCTGCTGCACGCGCTGGGGGCGCTGCTTCCCGGCGGGGCGGCCCAGCCCACCGGCATGCACTGGTACTCGCGGTTCCTCTACCGCCTGGCGGAGGAGCTGCTGGGCTGAGCGCTGCGGCTGAGGAAACCTCGAGGCGCCCGCCGTCGAAAAGCTGGGCGTGCAGGCAGAGAGCTGGGGGTGGGCGCCGCTGACGGTGCTGACTGGGAGGGGGGACGGAAGGGCAGGAAGGAACACGGAGGAGAGACAGGAAGCACCTGTTAGGGACAACCTCCAACTGAGAAGAGGTGATCCTAGGTCCCAGGTAGGTGAGGTTGATGACGGGCGTCTTCAACGAGCACTATTTAGTCTCTTCTTCCCCAATGCCTCAGCCCTACCCTATTATTTTATTTTCTATTTATAAATTGTAATATAATGAGCTGCTTGCCTAGCCTGGCCAGATGAGGAGCTGGGCACGCGGGGTTAATGCTGTCTGGTAATCAGCCAATCTGACAACTGACACTTTCCTACAGGTGAGCTAATAAAAAGAAGGCTTCCAGAAGCTCATTGGAAGGTATCTCTATTCAGAGGGTGATTAGCCTCCAGAAGGGAGAAGAGGGTCTCACCTGGAGTTTATACCGTCCTGCCCCAGCAGGTCTTCCCCTGTTCCTCCTACCCGCAGAAGGGGCTTCCAGTGGATCAGCAGCAGAGACCAGAAGCATCATGCCTGTTCTGGCTGGTCTCTTCTCAGCAGAAAAGATCAAAAGCCTGCCCACAGTTTGCATACCCACGTCAGAGGAACAGGGCTGTCCATGGAGTGAAAGGACCACGGGGGTGGGGGTTCAGGTCATTGCTAGTACCCATGCTCAGAGAGTTCTGGTCCCTTAATTGTAGCCTGTGGTCCTATCAACCCCCCACCCCAAGACCATGAATCAGCCTAGTCCCATCCTACCCTGGTGTCAAGGTCTGGAAGGGGTTAACTTTTTCCCTCTGGGATATAACTGGACCAACCATGACCGGTGGGAATCCCTGTGTAATCCATAACTGATAGCCCCACACAGACTGCCAAGAACCTGAACAGAGGGCTGGAATCCACCTGGAAGGATTGCTCCAGAAGGTATCTTCAGCCCTAGCATATGGGGAGCCGGTTGGGACAGGAAACCAGCTTCCCAAGCAAAGGTTCCCTTTCAGATCTCCTGTTCTGGTTGTTGTTTCTACTGGCTCCTCCCCTGCATGCCACACTAACAGCTCTGCTTCCCTGACCTGGCGTTTCTAGGCAGGCAGGTGCATGTGAATTAGGAACAGAAGCTCCAAGCAAGTTGGGCTGTTCTGGAAGGGGCCGTTTAGGGTCTGAGGGATAATGAGGGTGGTGCAACCCAGAGTCTCCCACCCCTGTAGCTGCAGCTCTGTCCACGCCCTGGTATTCGCTGTCTGCCCTCTGGTGGCCATCAGGACCGATTCCCTTCAGATGGTAAGAAAGAGACCTGCTATGTACAAGGCAAGGGATGGGCCTGACCTTGCAGTGGTGCCTTTTCCCAGGAGTGGAGAGATGGCGGGTGGAGCTTATTAAGCTGTGAGGCATGAGCTATAGGTGTCAGGTTGGGGGAGGGGCCCACTGCCTCCGCTTGGGAAAGCCCTTTCAGACCAGGGCACTTTTGCAGCCTTCATGGCTGATTTAGCTCTGTGGCTCCTGGACACTGGAGGTGTAGCAGCCTGTAGCGGTCCAGAGTTCCTGTGCACCCAAGTTGTCTCCTCTTTGCCCTCCCTCTTAGGACTCAGGAGGTGAAGGCATTCTTAGGCTTGCAGGAAGTACTTGATAAAGGTAACATTTGGTTGCAGGCTAAGTTGACCGTTTTTGTCCTTTTCCCTCAGTCCACACCAGGAGCTTGTTGCCACCTGCCTCCCCATTTCCTGATCTCGAAAGCACACTCCAAAGCTGTGTACCTTTCCCTACTTTATTTCTAAATCTGCCCTTTAAAAAAAAAAGATTTGGGGGCCCTCCCTGGTGGCGCAGCGGGTTAAAGCACTGCACTAAGCTTAAGCCACTTCCGCATGAGTTTGATCCCTGCCTGCCCTGGAGGTGACCACATGGCGTGGCAGACCTCTCCTGACCCGGTCGCTGCTCCCCTCAGCAGTGTACTTCGTCGATCTGCCTGTTCTGCTCCCCTCTCTCTCTGGTGAATCCTCTCACCCTCCGCATCTCTGGCCTGTACCCCAGTTCTATATGAATAAATAAATAAATCTTAAAAAAAAGATTTGTTTATTTATATATACAGAACTGGGGTACAGGCGGGAGGAGTGGAGGTGCAGGGGGTGGTGAGAGGATTCACCAGAGACAGAGCGGAGAGTAGAAGAGGCAGATCAGCAAAGTACTCTGCTGTGAGGGGAGCAGTGGGTGAGGCAAGAGAGGTCTGCTGCACCATGTGGGTAACCTCCAGGGATGGGACTCTGGATGAGGTGATGAAGCACCTGGATAAGGTGATGAAGCACCTGCGCCTAGCTTCGCAGTGCTATGCTTTCACCTGTTGTGCCACCAGGGAGGGCCCTATATCTGCCCTTTTATCCCTCCATCAAATCTTGATGTTTTCCTGCCATGTCACTTCAGATGACAGCTAATGTGGTAAACTAAACTTATAGTCCTTTGTTGGCGGCTCCTTTGCCCCTTCCAGGTAATGCACATATTGTAAAGCTCTGCTGAAAATAAGGCCTTAAGCCATAAAACCAGAATAGTGCTAATTCCTAACATCTTGGTCAGGGAGCTATTTGGAGATAAGAAGAACTAATTGATTTCCCTTAAACTACCACCTGTAACCTACTTCCCAGGCCTGAGGCTCACCTCTCACCTCTGACTTCCATCCCTTATTATCTTTGTCCTCTGGAGGCCCTCCTAGTGCCTTAAAAAAAAAATAGCACTTGCTGGCAAGCAGCATTTTATTTCTACGAGGCAGGTCAGGAAGGCACATTCACTTGGATATACATCCCCAATGGCAAAACTTTTTTTCTTTCTTTTTTAAAAAATATTTATTTATGCATAGAGAACTGGGCTATAGGCCAAAGGTGCAGGGATGGTGAGAGGATTCACCAGAGACAGAGTGGGGAACAGAACAGGCAGAGTGACTGAAATACACTGCTAAGGGGTACAGCGGGTGAGACAGGAGAGGTCTGCTGGGCCATGTGGGTCAGCCCCCAGAGGGTGTTCGAATTAGTGCCTAAGCCACCAGGGAAGCCTTGTCCCTATAACTCTGATTTCATAAGACTCCATTCTTCAGAAAGTGCTATGTAACAAACTGGGGTTTGTTTTAAAACAAGTATAATTTAAAAATCTTGTTTTGAGGTAGTACAGAGTTTTGTTGTCATCCTGGCAAAGCCCCTCTGCATCAAGGAACCCAGTTGAGCACCACTACTGAAAGGTTAAGGTGACCTTTCATTGTCTAGGATCCGGACCTCCCCACCATTTCTTCTTCAAGCAGAGTTTATTGAACACCTGCAGAGTAACATTGTATTAGATACTGAGAAAATACATGAAAGATGAAAAAACAGCCTCTCCCCTGGAGTATACATTGAGATACAAGATGGCTAACTGCCAAAGCAACATGGTTATTTAGTCAGGATGGACTGAATGTGTATGTTGGTGGAGAAAGTAAGGCCCGAATAGGATGCTGAAGCTTGTGTAGGTAGAGAGGATCTAGAGGGTTCGAGACAGAAGCGCCATCATGGCAGGGACTTGGAATCTGAGATGTGTAGTCTGTTTAGAACTGGAGACCAAGAAGTACTAACTATATGTTGTCAGTGTTTGTTGAGAACACTGCCAGGCCCTGTTCAAGCATTTCACATGCATTCCCATTTGATCCTCACAAGAACCCTATGAGATTGAATTCCAGATAAGGAAACTGAGGTAAAGAGAAGTTTAAGTCACTTGACCAGATTACTATAGTGGGTAAAATGTTGAAACTTGGGTAGGAATAAAATAAATAAAACCGCCTTAAACTATCTTAACGTTTCCTCATTCCCTGGATGGAGTCACTAATAAAGTCCTAGCTTCTGACAGTAATTTCTTATTTTCATTGGCTCTTTTCCTCCTTCGTGGATCCCAGTCCTCCCCAAATAAAGCTGTCTAGACAGCAGTTAAGGAAATTCACACATAGGTGCAGGTTTCCGGCAGGAACAGTAGCAAGTTAGTGTAAAACTTTTGATTCTTTTGGGATTAGTGAAGCGGGGAGACTAAACTTTGTTATGGCTGAACGTGTGTGGCTCCATCTTTCAGATTCACGCTGAAGCCTCTGTGTGGCTAGATCAGAGATGGAACCTCTGAGGAACTGATTAAGCTCAAAGGAGATCATAAGAGTGGGTCTCATCTGATAGGATCCTATCTCCACAAGAAGTTTGCTTTTCTCTCCCCTCCCACTAAGGAGAGACCTTGTTAGGACACAGTGAGAAGACTGTCACTTGCAAGCCAGGAAGAGAGCTCACCTCACCTTGGAAGCCAAATTAGCCAGAAATTTGATCTTGGAGTTTTGACTTTCTAAACTGTGAGGAAATAAATGTCTGATGTTTAATGCCACCAAGTTGTGGTATTTTGTTATGGTAGTCCTAGCATACTAACACAAGTTTCCAGAAATGTTGGAAGTAAAAAGCTAAGATCTTTACTTAGTGAAAATAATCAGCTCTACTTGAAAATGAGCATTTTTGGCCTAGAGCTTGACATAACTTGGCTACTTTTGTAGCCAAGGGTCCTGCTTATATGAGGAAGTTTGGAAACACTCTTCTCCCACTGGGAGACTGAAGCAGTTGTCTATGGGAAGAAAACTTGACTGGCCAGGGTAGTTCCCTGTGAGGGATTTGTGGACATCTGGCACATCCAGCCGCTCTTCCCCTGTTACTGTCTGTACATGTGATTCGTTTGGGGTACACAGATGAACATCTCTCTTGAGAGGAGGGTCTCTCAGATAAGATGTTACCGCCACCTGGGTGTCACATGGGCTGTGCCAGGGAATAGAACAATAATGTCAGACATGGATTGTAAGATTACCTGGCAGGACAGGAATAGGTGGTAAGGAAGCTCTTGGGTCTGGGTGAAAGAGAGGAAATCACACTTAAACTGAGCTGGGAAGACCGGTAAGAGTTGTCCAAGCAGGAGGAACAGTCTGTGCAAAGGCCAGGACTTGAGGGGCAAATGTAAGATGAGTCTGAGGAGCCTCAAGTTCAGGATAGCCAGAGGGAGGGAGATGTGATCCACATTGAGGACTTTCAATTTTGTTCTAAAGATGACATGCAATTTTAGGATTTGGGGCGGATGAGAGAAAAATTCAAGCTTGCTTTTTAGATAGGAAATGGGCAATTGGATGGACTTTTGGGGCTTTTAATTTCTAAACAGGGTGGCCCACAGCAGAGCATGTAATCAGAGCTCGTTCTGATTACACAAGTAGGAAAGATCTCCATCCCCACAGAGAGCGCGTTTTGGAGCAGATGGAGGAGGCGGTGCAGGGGACTGAGTGCTGGGGACCGAGATGACAGTATGGACAGGAACAGAGTTGAAGGGACACCGACGCCCTGCCTTTGCTTCTCTG